ATGTGAGCTGAGGGTTTCCCCAGGCCCAGCAGGGCAGCAAAGGGAGGTAGGGAAGAGGCACGATGGTAATAATTACAAACATCTTCATAATAATGACACTTGGTCACCTCATTTGAAGACTCTGTTCTTTTCCAAAGTGCTTCATCTCTTTCATCTCATTAAAGGGCCTCCCTCATCCAGGGAGGCCAGGAGGATGAAGTCTTATCTCCATTTTACAGAAGGGGCACTGAGACCCAGTCAGGTCAGTTTTCCCGCAGCCACAGAGCCCAGGAGAGGGCTGGGATGACTTCAGTCCTGGAGCTCCCCTCCCCACAGCACCACTTCCTCCCTGAGCCAATGGGGGCTCATCCTAGGGGCTCTGGAGCCCTGGTCTGGGCAGCAGTTGGACCTCTCAGATAGCAAAGACAAGAGACAAGAAAGGAAAGAATTCTGGCTTGGGAGCCAGGCCATGGGTTCCAATTCTGGCCCCGTGACAAACCATGTCAGAGTCACCCAGATAAACCAGAGATGAGGGGTGGGCATGACCCCTCCCTACTGATACGAGTGCCCAGGCATTTCCTACTCCAGGCCAAGGGCACAGCCCCAGAGACTTTCTGACCAGGCAGAGAGACAAGAGAGGAATAAACCCCTGAGCACTGCTACATGCCCAACTTTACCAGCCGTGTAAATCCATCATTTCTAGTCCTTGGAGCATCCCTGGGAAGCAGAGGGGCCCCCTCTAGACTAAAGGTGAGGAAAAAGGTCAAACAGGGACAAAGACTTGACCAAGGGCACAGAGTGAAGAAGCAGTGGGATCTGAACCCAAGACTCTCTGATGCCAAAGCCCACCCAGTCTCATCCCCTGGCAGGAGAGTCTGACATCTCATACTGATTTTGCCTGGGAGGAGCACTGCTGACTTGGTGGCATGTGTTGTCCTTGCTTCTTCCTTCCTGTTGTCGGTCTCAGTACCGGCACAGTGAGTCCAGGAGGGTGACATACTGGCTCCACACACCTGGGCTGCAATCTTTCCCTACCACTTACTAATGATAGAACCTGGGGAAAGTCACTGAGCAGAGGCTCAATGACTCAGTTTCCTCATCAGTTCAATCAGGGGTTTGGTCGGTTATTAGCCTGGGATGCACTTTAGAATCACTGTGGGAGCTTTTAAAAATGCCCTTGCCTGTGCTGCACCCCAGGAGAGTCCTACTGAATTGGTCTGGGGTGGGGCTCAGCATCAGTTTTATTTTAAAGCTCCTAAGAGATTCTAATGTGCAGCCAGGGTAAGAAACACTGGTTTCTGTGCTCTCTGAGGACCAGCTTTTCCACATCTAACATTCCACGTGGAACCCTGCTCTGAGATCCTGTTTACCCAAGAATCATTTGGGCAACGCTTCCTATGCCGGCCTGGATAGAGGCCCTTAACCCCACGTAGCTGAAGAGCTGGCTGGCAGCACCATGGACAGCGACCAGCTCATCCTAGCCAGTCCCAACCGTGCTTCTGGAAGTCTGAGCTTGAACCAGTTGTGGCGGGGGAAATCCTGAATGCAGTTCCTTGCCATTCCCCTCCTTTCCCTGACTCCTCCCTCTCTTACTGGCCTGTCTCCTTCTACTCCTATTGACCCCCTCCTCCTACTTTATAAGCCCAGGCACATGTGGGTTTTGACTTCAGATCGACCTGGGTTTGAATCCTGCCTCTCCTATTTCCTTGCCAGGTGAACTTGGCCAGGCACTGTTCTCGGTTCTGAACTCAAACTATTTGAGTTCTCACAGTGATCCTGAGAGCTTGGCCGTAATATTACCCTCATTTCACAAATGAGGAAACTGAGGCACAACGGGCTTCATTACTTAACTTCACTCAGCCTCATTTTTTCATCTGTAAAGTGGAAATCTCAAGAGAGCTTACTTCAAGCTTATTTTATAAATTCCGTAAGATAACATACATAAAGGGCTTCTCATAGGATCTAGCACAAAGTAGTTATTCAGTAAACATAATCTAACATGATCATTGAATAATGATATGTAATAATGGGTTTCATCATTATTTATTATTAATTCACATTTTCACTCTTCACTGTGCATAGCAGTTTCCTCATCTGTAAAATGGGAATGATGCAGGATTGTACCGTGTTGGTTCATATCAGCTTGATTTTCTGTTTTGGGAGCCACTTGATATCACATTGGAAGCTTGAAGTTGGCCATGGTGAGAATCTCTACACCATGGAAATCAACAAACACTACAAAACAGGGCATTTCTCCCCACCCCTCTAGCCCTCAGAGCCGATGGTTAAACGTTTACCAGCATACCACTGCATCTATATAATAGAATTGGCCTGAGGACTAAAGGAGGGAGTGGATGTGATGGTCATTATAAAAATATGAACTGCTGAATGGAGGGGGGATGATCCTGAGGTCCTGTAGCAGCCACAAGCCCAGCACCCTTTTATCTGCCCATTCTCGGGAGCTGCTGACTTGCGAAGAATGTAGGAGGGGGTCTGGAGTCTGGGGAGCCAGTGGTGAATCACTGACCCTTCACCATCCCCACGTGTAGGCATTAACTGTAATGGCTGCAATAAAGAATCTGGGTTTGGGGAAATGATTCCATCATCCCCGCAGGAGTCCCTGGGATGCAGCCAGGGAGAGGGAGAGAGAGAGAGAGAGAGAGAGATCAGCCATTACCCTGGGGAGTCACTCAGCCCAATATTGTGCCTTGCCCAAGGGATGGGGGGAACAAGCAGAGGGGAGTGACAGAGAGACCCTCTCTCATAACAGTTACAACAGCCACTATTTATTGAGCACCCCCCATAAGCCTGATGCTTTATGTATCTTCTCCCTTTTCAGTATGTCTGTGAGGGAGGCATGATCGTGGTATATCGTATACTGGCATGCCATGCCTCCCGAGACAACAACGTGCATTTATTGAGTTCTTAGCATGGGCCAGGCACTGTCCGCGGTGCTGAACATGGAAGTCTATTTGAATTCTCAAAACAATCCCGGGAGTTTGGTAGTACTATCATCTTCATTTCACAAATGAGAAAAATTGAGGCACAAGGGGGTTTGTGACATGTTCAAGGTCAAACTGCTAGTAAGTGTCAGAGTCATCACTGATTGTGATTCAGTACACTGGGCTACCATCCCCAGAGCCACTCTGCCTGTGCTGACTCTGTCATCCAGAAGGGCTTTGACCTCAGAGAGTCCTGGGTTCAAATTCCACCACTTCCTCTCTCAGTGCTCTTGGTCAAGTCTTTCTACCTGTTTCCTCGCTTGTAACTTAGAGGGGCTCACTCTGCCTCTCGGAAACACTATGAGGATTAGAGATGATGAATTTAAGTGCTTGGTGAAGCTGGACATGCAGTGGGTGCCATTAGGCATTTATTCCTTTCTCCTCTATCTGTATAATAGGAGGCACCTGGGGTTATGTCCTGGGGTTATGAGTAGGAGACCCTGGGCACCTAGCATCAAGAGGGAGGGGGCTTGCTCAAATCCCTTCCCTAGCTTCTCTGGGCAACCCTGATATGGTTGACATGGAACAGGAGCTGCCAAAGAGAGGCGCATTGCAGGGCCGGTTTAGGAGGCTTAGGCTGGGAGGGGGGACATGGAGAGGGAAATGAGAAATGCAAAAGAGTGAAAAATAAATACATGTGTCTGTCTGGAATGATCGAGGGCCCCAGGCTGGAGGCGGGAGAGGCGGGCGGCAGGCTGGGCTTAGCAGAATTGCTGCAGTAGCTCTTCCAGAGCCCACGCATTAGCCAAGCCGTGAATGGGCCTTACCTCCCAGCGTGCCACCCTCCTGGCCCAGAGTCCAACCCAGCCCCAGGAGCGCCCCACTCAGAACCTCAGCAGGTCTGGGCCCCTTCCCCTCACCAGCAGGGCACTCAAAAGAAGGCATCACCTTAAAGTGATGGATGAGTCTCATCCCCTTGGGTCATATCCTGAGCCCCCAAGACTCCCTCTTAGGTCTTCTACCTCACCCCCTCCTTTCTGGAAAGGTTCAGATGGACCAGAAGGCTTTGCCCGCTTCTCCGTCCAACACCTCCCCCACCCTGCCCTCACCCCCATCCTGTCCAGCCTCATGTCCCAAGCCTGATTTCGTCAAATTGAACATGATGTCAAATTAGAGCCATCTCTGGGACAGGCCAAGAGAAGCTCCCAGTTTAATGAGGCAGCGTCGAAAATCAATAACTTAATTGCCGCTGTTTGATGGACTTTTATCCAATTTATACTCTCCCCAGCAGCCTACGTGCAGAGCATGTGGAGAAGTGTGTGTGTGTGTGTGCGCGCATGTGTGTGCATGTGCCTGGGGCGGGGACTGTCTGGGCACCCAGGGGGAGGGGTGAGGAGGGCACCAGGACCCACAGCCAACTATTTCCCAAAGGGAAAGCTGGGTCTTGCCATCCTCCTGCCCCAGATCCAAAAGACACTGGCCTCTGAGCCCCAGTGAACTTGGTTATCCTTCTGGGCTGCCCAACTCCCATTTGTGGGGGGTGGTGAAGGAGGGAGGGAAGAGAAGCAGAATTCCCTTGAGAAATCAGGAGAGGCTGGGGTGGGCACAAAGACCCCTGCTTTGGGAGTCTGGTGCCTGGTTTCCAGTCCTGGCTTTAACTCTGACCATGATGACTTAACTGGTGAAGATGACCATTGCCACCACCCGCTGAGACTGAGCCCCATCTGCACTGAGAATTTAAAGTGCATTCCCTCAACCTCAAGAACCAAGGACTAGGATTATCCCCCATTTGCTGAAGAGGAAACAGATTCAGAGAGGCTGCCTTCCCTGGCCAGAGTCCTACAGCTGGGAGCCACCAAAGGGAGATTTGAACCCAGATCTGACTCCATGGTCACGCTTGCGCCACGGGAAGGCCCCAGATCAGGAAGCGGGTTGGGAGTCAGTGTGGGGATGGGGACTGTGAGGGGACTAGCTTCCATGACCTCTAGCTTGGATCTCCTCCCCCAGCTTCCCTGGGGTGGGGAGGACAAGCGCAGCGGCCCCAGGTGACCCCTGTCTTGCTTGGTCCCCCGGGCCCAGGCACGTCGGTGATGCAGGTGATGGCCTCAGATGCGGATGACCCCACGTACGGCAGCAGCGCTCGGCTGGTGTACAGCGTGCTGGATGGCGAGCATCACTTCACCGTGGACCCCAAGACCGGTGAGGGCCGGGGCCAGGCCGGAGGGGGCGGGGCCAGGGTAGGACCGAGGTGGGGGGACAGAGGGGTGGGGCCAGAGGGTGGGGGGAGGTCCGCTAGCAGCCTTCTAACAGGACAGCGGTGAGGGTAGGACAGGACCAGGAGGTGTCTAGCTTGTTCCAGGGTTGCAGAGAGGAAGGGGCGGCCAGGCAGAAAGAGGGAAGGGCTGAGGAACAGAAAAGGATGGCACAGGGGTGGGAGTCCCTGCAATACTGGCAGGAAAAAAAAAAGGCAGGATGCCTCCACCATGGGCGCCCTGAAGGGACTTTGGAGGTCCCAACCAAGCGGCCCTCTTGTCCTTGGAGCTTAACTGAAGCAAGCGTGTCTGCAGCCCTTAGGGGTCAGTTGGTGAAGGGCACCTTTGCAGCAGTTGTGAAAGCTCTGTTCAAGGGGCAGTTGTTAAGGATCTGATGGAAAGACAGGGATGGAGACCAATAGGGAAGAATGGTTTCTTAACTTCTTTTCCCTCCCCCAACGCCACCAGACACAGTCCCCAATTCATTTTCTCTGAGGTTAGAACCTGATTATGTCTCTGAGGGGCCCTGCCAGAGTGGCAGGGAGGGCAGAGCAGGAGACTGAGGCTCGGAGGAGTGAAGTGCCTCACTGAGGTCACACAGCTGGGCGTGGCTGCTGCTGCCAAGGGCGGTGTCCTCCCCGTCCCTGTGATGGGAGGGGCAGGGCAGGAGTGAGGGCGCCCGGGAGACCTCACACCACAGAATGTTTATCAGATGCCATCATGGGGCTCACAGCCCGGGTGGGGGCCAGGGCGACAGGCATATGCATGGGCAATCAGGATGCAAAGTTCTGGGAGGTGGAAGAAGTTGATCTCCAAAGGATAAGAAGGTGTTGGCCAGACTAGGATTCAGAGACGGGCATTCCAGGCAGAGGGCATGGTGCAGGCGAAACCAGGAGGGAAAGAACAGCCTGAGGCATGAGGGGAATTGTAAGCAACTCAGGACTGGGGAAGCAGGCGGGCTGGGGATTCAGGCTGGTTGGCAGGGGCCCAACTGGGCACAGTAGTAGCGAGGTTTAAGACCTTGGATTTTATTCTAAGGGTAATGGGGGGGATTTTATTCTAAGGGTAATGGGGGGTAAAGGGTAATTCTAAGGGTTATTCTAAGCGTAATGGTGTGTGTGTGTGTGTGTGTGTGATGGATCTGGGTTTTGGGGTTTTGTTTTTGTGTTTGATTTGTTGGGGTGGGGGATTGAGGATTCCAGGTTATGAGCTCAGTTGTAATTGTATTATCTTACACATAATATCTTTGTCATTTTTTTCTCCTTGCAAAAGTAACACATTTTAGGAAACATTCAAACATTGAAGGAATGTTAAAGAAAGGAAGGAAGGAAGGAAGGAAGGAAGGAAGGAAGAAGGAAAAAGAAAGAAAGATAGATAGATAGATGCTTCCCACTCTCATCCCCTAATTGCAGCCCCAAAGGTAGCCACTTGGTGTATATCTCCTATGAGATCTTAGACTCACTCATTTACTTGGAAAATATTAAGTTTTTTAAAATAAATAACACATTTCAAGGTTCAACATTTATCCAAACAAATATTTAGTGGAAATTCTTTACCCCTTCCAGTCCCCCAGTTACCCAGTCTGGGTCCCCAAGGCAACCAATGTAATTTTCTTGGGTATCTTTCCAGAGCTATTCTATGCATGTACAAGAAAATAGGTACATGTATTTGTTTTATTTTTTTACACAAATGGTAGCTATAAACACACACTATATACACTGCTTGCCTTTTTCACTTAACAATACATCTTGAAGATTATTCTATATCAGTACATAAAGAGCTTCCTCATTCTTTTATTTAACAGCTGTTGTGGATACACTAAAATTTATTTCACCAGTCCCCTATTGATGGACACTTACGCTGTTTCCAATCTTTTGCTACAACGAACAATGCTACAGTGAATAACCTCATACATATATCATTTTGTGCTTGTGTGAGTATATCTGCAGGATAATTTTCGGGAAGTAGAAAAGCTGGGTCAAAGAGCACATGCATTTGGAATCTGGATAGATAATGCCGAAATGTACCAGATTACACTCCCAAGAGCCACCCAAGAAGGAGCCTGCTTCCCCCCTCCTCACCAACACTCGGGGTTCATTGATGACTTTTAGGCAGGGAAGTGACATGCTCAGGTTTTCATCTTAACAAGATCCCTCGGGCTGCTCTCTATAGCATGGCTCAGAGTCAGGCATTGAATTCAGGGAGACTCAGTAGCCTGGGGTCCCCATCACAGAGCCCCAAAGGACAAACACCAAGGCCTGCGCCTTTCCCCAGCCCCCACCCAGACTCCTGAACCTGTTCCATCCAGCTAGGGAGCGAGAGATGACACAGGATTGGTGGCAAGGGTTAGTTGAGATGCTGAGAAGGGAGAATGAGGGATGACAGTGAGATCCTGCCAAGGGCAAACCTTGGGGACCTGGGTGAATGTAGAGAACTAGATTGAGGGAAGAATCTGGGGGTTCCCAGCTTTGGGCCCTGGGATGGGAAGGGGCACCATCTACGGAAACAGAGGGAGGAATGTTGATTAAGAAAACTAGGAGCAGAAAAATTAGTGAATATGCCCTGCGATCAGGTGCAGAGCTAATTCATTCCATTTTAACCACGGTGGGTTTAAGAGGAGAGAGGAAGAGGAAAGAAACATCTAGAACATCTAGCAGGCCATCTGAAATACAGGCCCAGAGCTCTCTAAGTAGCTGGGGCTCTCTAAGCTTTGGTTTCCCATGTGCACAAGAAGGATAATAATTCCCATCTCACGTGACTCTTGTGAGGATCCAACGGGAGAGTTCCTTCCTTCATTCAACAACTCTTTAGCGAGTGCCTGCTATGTGCCTGGCTGTGTTCTAGGCTCTAAGCATATGGCAGGAGGCAAATCCAAGACCCTACCCTCATGGAGCTTTAATTCAAGTAGGGAATACAGAAAATAAGCCTATCCGTGCATAGCATAACGTCAAGTAGCAACGAGTGCTAGGAAGACACAGAAAGCAGGGTAAGGGGATAGACTTCGATGAAGAAATCAGGATGGGCCTTTCTGGGGAAGTGACCTTGGGCAGAGACGAATGAAGGGAGGGTATGAGCCCCTCGGTATCTAGGAAGGAGTGTGCAGGCCAAGGGAACAGCGAAGGTATGAAGTGCTCGGCATAATCCCTGGTACCTCCTGGCAAGCCAAGGGGCTGCTATTGCTACTGAAGCCTTCATTCGTTCAGCTGGAGGAGGGGGCCCTTTGAGTTGATCTCCCTCCAGAAAGGGAGGAAGCGACCAAAATAAGGGAGGGGCCAGGACTGAGTCTGGGAGATGGCAGGGGTGAGCCAAACTCCAAGAGAGTGAGGAGGACGGCCAGATTCTCAGAAAGAGCATCCCCCACTGCAGGGAGTCAGGAAGAGAGCGGCAAGCGGGAGGCCATGGAGAGCCCGGGAGGGCAGGGATGCTTCCCAAGAGGCCAGCGCGTGGCACCAGGCAAGGCAGGTGAAGCAGCGCAAATGAGGTCCTTGTTCTGGGGTCCTCCACTTTCTCAGTCTGAGAGGCTCTTTGCTGACATCTCCCAGGAAGGACCAGATTTTTCCTCCCCTTGCCTTCAGCCCCACTGCAGGAGCCGCCCTGGTGCCATTCCCAGCCCCAGCTCCATTTCCCCAGCCAGGAATATTCCGCTGATGCGGGTCTATATTTAGCAGCTGCTGTGAGGTACTGTCTGTTCTCGCTGTGCAGATAGCAGGGAGCAGAGCCGGAACGGGCCCTGAGAGGAAGGTGTGAGGGAGAGGAGGGGGCGGGGCTCCAGGGGACCGAGTGCCAGAGGACGAATTAACTTGTGTGTTTTAAAGGCCAGGCCTGCCAGCAAGCCCCCCACAGGGGCAACAGGGATGGCATTTGCGGGCTAATGAGGCATTGCTTGGGCTCCAGGGCCCCTTCTGCAGAATTTGGAGGGGACGATGGGGGTGGCGAGGACAACACCTGGAACTGGAGGTGATGGGTGAGGACAAGGCTGCAGGGAGCTGTGGCCAGGTTCTAATTTTCAGCACCCGCCCACCACCACCCGCACAGGACTAGAAAAACGCTCTCAGAGACTCCAAGTTATCTGCTGAAAATTCTCAACAGGGCCTGGGATGAATGAAACAAACCTTTGCTGAGCACCTTCTAAGTGCCAGATCCTGGGGTCAGGATGATAAACTAGATCTGGTTTCTGCCCCCCAGGGCTTTTGTTCCAACAGAGAAGCCAGAAACAATGACACCCAGCCTATGAGACGGGGAGACAGAGGGTCTGTGGCAGTAGGTCAGACAGTCTAAGTGTTTATTGAACACCCCCAATGTGCCAGACCCTATAAGTAAGATGATGAACAAGGCCGGTAGGAATCTCTGCCCTCATGGAACATATTGATCGGGTACCCAATCCAGGACTTGGGGAGGAAGGGATCATCATGGCATCCCCAGAATGTGCGACCTGCCACTGGAGACTTTGTCTCATTTAATTCTCTTAAAAGCCTTCCAACTGGGTAGCCCCATTTTATAGAATAGGAAACTGAGGCTCAGAGGCACTCAAAAAACTTGTCCAAGGTCAGACAGCATGTAAATAAATGGTGGAAAGAAGACTTGAACCAGTCAGTCTGACCCCAAAGTCCCTCCTTTCTGCACGGCCTCGTATCTGCCTCTGTGACCCCTACACAAGTATGTCCTCAGTAAGCATCTAATAAATGAGTGAATGAAGTGATTTGCAGAGCCAGAAGGTTTCAAGGACAACTGCATGGGCCGATTTGGGGAATTTTACCCCAGAGCCGGGAGAAAGGCACCAGCCCCCCGGGTGCTCCTCCCAGCGTCAGGAAGTGGAGTGGGGAGCAGAACATAGCAGGTAGCAGAATATGCCATCAATTCCTCCCACCCCTCTAGGTAAAGTGACTTTGCCACTGCTCCTATCAAGAGGTGAAGTCTTGAGAGCTGCCTGGCTGGCTGAGATGATAGGGCATGGGACTCTTGCTCTCAAGGTCATGGGTTCAAGCCTAATGTTGGGCATGGAGCCTACTTAGGAAGAGAGAGAGAGGTGGAGTCTTGAATCTGGGAGCAGAAATGATGCTCTGCCAAGTCCCAGATTAGGCCTTAAGAGGCCTTGCCGCCTTCACTCTTCTCTCCCAAGACCCCCATCTAAGGAAATGAGCCCAGCCTGCTGAAGCCCGGAGATGCTCTAGCGGACAGCCAGGAACCCCCCACCCCCTGCCAGACCTATGCCCCAGGCCTCGCTGGGCCTTCTGGCCAGCTGAGCCTCTAGTGAAATGTGACTGCACGAGCGAGCCCAGGAGAGGAACAGGCCGGAAAACATGATCTCTCCATCAGATATCTACTGCTTTGTGACAAACTGCCCCCAAACACGGTGACTTAAAACAGCAGCAGTTTTTTATTGACATAATCCTGTGGGCTGGCTGCGCAGTTCTTTTCACCGGGGTCACTCGTGTGGCGACAGTCCACCGGCAGATCGGCTAGGACACTGGTGTGCCTGGGCCCCTACCTCCATGTGGCCTTCCATCTGGGGCTTTTTCTAAGCAAGGTGGTCTCGGAGCTCCAAGAGGACAGGCCCCAGCACACAAGGGCTTATCAAGCCTCTGCTTTTTGTCCCACTTGCTGATGTCCCATTGGCCAAAGCAAGTTGCGGGGCTAAGGCCAGAGTCGGTGTCCGAGGGGGTGACCCAAGAGTGTGCCTATCAGCAGGTGTGCTTTATTGGGAGCGGGCATCCCAGCCTGTCACTGGGTGTGAGCCCAGGGCCGGGTCCAAAGGCAGCATGGCCTCTGGGTACCCACCTCCTGGTCTCCCAGAGATGGCACCTGATCGTCTAGAAGACTTCATGACCAGTTGCCAAGTGAAAAGAGGTTAGTATCCCTACTTCCTCTGGAGCTAGAAGTGGCAAGGACAGCAAGGAGGCAGTCACATGAGCAGGGCTCCTCACCCGCAGGGGTGGACCTCAGCCAGAGCCCTGCTCCAAGCCCCACGCATGAGTTTTTGGTGCACAAGCTCACAGATGCACCGTGGCCCCAAATCCCAGCACTGCCTCTGCATTCCGCGAGGTCCTGGATGCAAAGCACATGCACACGGCTTAGCACGCGGTAAGGGCTCCACTGGTCGGCTCCCCTCCCTGCCCTTCCGACTGGTTCACTCAGGGAGCCTTTGTCTCTGGCCTGGTTGGCCACTCCACCATCAGTCTGTCTGTCTGCCCTCGCCTGTCCTCCCTCCACCATCTTTCTTCCCCGCTTCCCGACCCTGGGCCTCCCTGCTGTCTTCGAGAAGGGCTGTTCACTCAGTCTCTATTATTCTCTGCCTTCCTTTCTCCCCTCTGTTCTTTCCCTGTTCATCTGTCTCCAGGTCTCCGGCGCTCTGTTCCTCTGTCTCACTGTCCCTCCCGAGTGCACATTTCCCTCTGGCTTGACCACTTACCTCTCTCCTTCTCTCTGTCCCAGCCCTTTAGGTCTCCCTTGCTCTCTGTTCCCTCTCCAGGGCTGCAAAGCCTCAGCTGACAGACCAGTGGAGGCCTAGGCCCTAGCCTCATCGCCAGAAGGGCGCCCCGCTCACGGTCCCAGTGTTGGGGCAGGTCAAGGAGGGCCAGTTCTGACCAGAACTGGGGTCGGTGGGGAGCACGCTGCTACTGGCAGCTGGTGGGTAGTGTTATCCCGCCCCAAACATCAATAGTGCCAAGGTTGATAATTCCTGCACTGTATGCAATTGTCCCATTGTCCAGATGAGGAAACTGAGGTTCAGAGGAAGGGATTTGCTCAAGATCACTGGTCAAAAAAATGGCAGATCTGGGATTTATCCCAAGTTCATGTGCTTCCAAGACTCACTCTCCGTAAAGGAGGGATCAACAGGGAGCCCAGGGAGGGGTCTCGGAGGCCACCGATGGAGGGTCTGTACGACTCTTGATTAGATAGACTACACATTTTCCATATCTCCATGTGATCCCACAAAAGCAGGGCCACTTCCTAGATGCCCTACCTCCGGCTCCCCCAGCTACACATACAAATACACACATACACGCACACACTGCAGCCTCTCCCCCTCGTTCTAGCACCTTTATTGGAGTCTGGGGGCTGTTTGGGGACATCAGGAGTCGGAGATTGGGTTTTATGGGGCACATCATGGGGCTGCTGGTGCATGACTCCACCTGGCGTGCAGGCCCCAGGCACCACCTGTCACCACCTGGTACTCGGCAGGTTGGAGCGAGTGGCGGGGGAGGCTGTGAACGCCTCATCGACTCTCCCCTCCACCTTGGTCTCCCACTGGCAGGGAGACAAGAAGCTCGGTCTTCTGCTCGGCAGAATTAATCTGTGGTCACCGCCGTTCCTGCGGCCCCTGCCCCTCTTACATCAACAGCTTGAAGGGCTGTCTGATCAGTGATTAGCCAGTGCCTGGACAGAGAATCTAGGGCTGGGCCAGGGCACGGGGACTTCAGGGGCTGGGGGCCGACTCCATCATGGAGAGGGGCGTGTGAAAATAAGAGTGTGCGTTCATAACTGTGAGTGGGCACACATGTGGGTGTGGGTGTGGGTGTGAGCTCATGTGTGTTCTTATGTATGTACCACATAAGCGTGTGAGATGTGAGACATACTTAGTGTATGTATACAGATGAGTGTGACTCCAAAGTGAATGTGTGTGAGTGTGGGTGTGAGTCCGGTTCACCATGTTAGCACTCAGTAAGCTGCTGTTCCGTGCCCGACTCTGCTGAGGGCCACTGACAGAGGGTTGAAAGAGCGGATCTGAGCAGGTGTGAGTGTGCGTTATCCGTGAACACGTGGGTGAGTGTGCGTGAGCATGCGTGGTGGCTGCTGAGCCTGCACCCCCACTGTCCCCACACCCGTGTCTTCCGTGTTCCCCTCCTGAACTTGCCTGAGCCACACCTCTGCCTGTGGAGGGGTCTCTGTATCAGCTCGCAGCTTCAGGGGGGGCATCCCTGGCCTCACTCTCACTCACCCGCAGGCGTGATCCGGACGGCCGTGCCTGACCTTGACCGCGAAAGCCAGGAGCGCTACGAGGTGGTGATCCAGGCCACAGACATGGCGGGCCAGCTGGGTGGCCTCTCCGGCTCCACCACCGTCACCATCGTGGTCACCGATGTCAATGACAACCCACCCCGTTTCCCGCAGAGTAAGTGAGGCCTTCCTAGAGGGTGATGGCCACATGCATCTGCATCCACCTGGTAGACCCCCAGCATCCCTCCCATCAGACTTCCATGGCAGGTATTGTGGGTGTCCGTTCATCCTTCCACCCACCGAGCTCATGCTTCCCTTTAGGCTTCCACCAAAAGAGAAGCTTGAATCTGTCTATCCATCCAAGGCATCCATTTCCCCCCAGTGCCCCTCCAATCATGCTTCTTACAGAGGAAGTCCTCAAAGTTGTCTGATAGCCCACAGGCCAAGTAATACGGTTACCTTCCTACCCCTCACCTTGCTTCCTGCCGCGGAGGAGCCCCCATCTGTCCACCTACTCCAGCTCCTCACTGGCCCCCGCACACACCCCATTCCTGCTTATCCATGTGATCTGCCACTGACCCAAGCTTGCAGAGGGAAGGGCCGGGGAGGGGGGCTGGAGTGACAGGTCTGTCCCCACGATGAGCCTGGAGGGCAGGGTGCTGCGCTTCTGAATTAGGTCTTTCCACTCTCTGCCTCTCCAGGCACAACAGGGGACGGGGGGTGGGGGTGTTCTCTGGCCAAGTCTCCCACCTCCCCCTCAGCCAGCCCCTTGTCCAGCCTTGGGCCCTGAGCCGCGCCGGGGAAGCCGCCGAAGCTGGCAGAGACTAAATGCTGCAGGGAACCGGGCTGATCCCTATCGGGGAGTCATTACTTGAGGTCTGCTGCTCTCACATTAGGCCCGCCACAGGGGACTGACCCCCGCAAGATAAGGGAATCCAATCCCTTAGCTGAGAGCGCACCATCATCGGGGCCTAGCACCTCAGCCTGGACTCCAAGCGGGGTGGGCAGAGCTGCCAGCTGGCTTCGCGTCGCCAGGGAGCCGGGCGCAGTAGCCGGGGGCCCCCCCGCCCCCCGATGTGGATGGGGGAGCTTTGAGGCACCGTGTGGAGCGGTGGGGGCCACCCGGGCTTCTGCCCAGTTGTGCGAAGCTCTGTGCTAGTTCTGAGCCGGAAGCAGTGGGGCAGAGCAGAGAAGAGGGACCCCAGGCCCCAGGAAGACTCTTGTTTATTTATTCATTGATTCATCCCTTCTTTATTTTTAACATTTCTTTATTGTGAAATATGCACACAAACGGAAAGGTGTAAAATAGAAATGTCCAGTTTGGCAACTAATTATAAAGCAAATCGTCCTAGAGACCACACTCCTGGACCCCAGAAGCCTCCAGGTGCCTTTCCTGAACCTAGCGGTCCCCCACACCCCCACTTCCAGAGTTAACCATGATCCACTATTGTGATCGCTACCTCCTTGCTTTAGAGTCAGTTTATCTACATACACATCACCCAACACTATAGCTTAATTTCACCTGGTTTTTTAACCTTAGATGAGCAGAATCATATCATATAACCTCTTTGCATCTTGCTTTTTTTCCTCTCTTAAAATTATGTTTATGAAATCACATGTATTCATTTTCGTTGCTGCACAGTGTCCCATCGTTTATCTATTCTATGTTGATGGACGTTTGGTTTGTTTCCAGTTTGAGGCTATGATGAAGGATACTGCTCTGAACATTGTTGCACCTTGTGGAATATCTCCAAGTGCCGGTTTGCACGCATTTCTCTGGTGTATATACACACTGGAACAGAATAGCTGGCTCATGGGATATACTTATCTTCAGCTTTACTAAACAAAGCCAAACTGTTCCCCCCATGAAAAAATGCATGTGTCCATTGTAGCCCATCCTCCCCACCACTTGCTGTTGTCAGACTCTAATTTGTGTTAACCCAGCGAGTGTGGAGCCATGCTCCTTTTCATTCATTCACTCCCTAGTCACTCACACATTTCATTTATGCAACAGTCTGGTGTTCTGGCAGGCTCGGAGAATGCCTGATGAATAAGAGATGTGGTTCCTGCCTTCCAGGAGCTCACACTCTGAACAGAGGAGAGAGGAGAGAGCAGGGAGAGAAGAAGCAGAAACTGATAGGGAAAGGCAAAAAACCTTATAATGGGATAATCTTGGTGGCCCTGGGGCACAAGACCAGAAGAGCCTGGAGGTCAGTCTGAAAAGGCTCTCTGGAGGAGGGAACATTCTGTGAGACTGTAGGAATTGGGGAGGGCACAGCAGAAAGGAGAATAAAGAGAGGGGATGCCTAGAGATGAGGAATTATAAGAACCTCAGGCAGGCTGAAGCTGGGGTCAGAGAGAGGGAGGCTGAGGCTGCAGAAGTCGGCAGGGGCCAGGCAGTGAGCATCCTGTAGGGCAGGCCAAAGGGCTGTAGGGCTCCATCACAGGGCAGCCGGGAGCTATGGAAGGGATTCCAGCGGGGGAGTGGCACAGCCAGCATGTTTTAGAAACAGCCCCTCTGGCTGCCATGTGAGAATGATTCAGAGGCCACCGCTCCACACAAGGAGTATCCAGACCTTGGGGACTCCAAGAGGCACATTCTCAGCTCCACAGGCCCTACTTCATCTGCACTGGCTCCTCACCTGCAAATCACCCTCATCTTGACCTCAACTCTGGGAGGAGAGCAGTGTACCGTTTGTGTCCCATCTGACCTCATTCCCTCACGTTTCTGCTCTGCTTCTCCCCTCTAGCCACAAAGGCCATCTTGCCGTTCTTCAAACATACTGGGCATTGCACCCACGTCAGGGCCTTTGCACCTGCTGTTCCCCTCTGTCTGGAATGCTCTTTCCCACAAATCTGCTTGGCTTACTCCCTCACCTCCCTCAGACTTTTGCAGAAATGTCATCTTCCTAGTGAGGCCTTTCTTGATTACCCTATTTAAAACTCCACACACACCCTCATCGGCATTCCCTGTGCCCCTTCCCTTACTTTTTCTCCAAAGCACTTATCACCATTTGATATACCACATGTTTTACTGATGTGATTGTTTGCGTCTTTCTCTGCCTGTTAAGAGGAAAGCACTGTGAGAACTGGGATTTGGGTCTTTTCTGCTTATTGCTATAACCCCAGTCCCCGAACTGCATCTGGGACATCATAGGTGCTTAATAAATACGTGGGAATGAAGGAATAAATGTCATTAACATCAACAGCAACAGGAAATCGGCATGAAGCCCCGCTCTTTTACCATAATTTGTTCCATTTATTGAGTAGCTACCATGAGCTAGGCACTGTACTAAGCGCTTTCCATGCCTCCTCATCTAAGTTAACGGGGACTGGGACCGTGCCGTTGGGAAGGCACTATTTCCATTCTACAGATGAGGAAACCAAGAATCAGGATTACACAGCCAGGACTGACTCCAGAGCCTGAGCCTTGATCACTGGGATCCTCTGCACCCCTCATGGGCAGACGGAGAAACTGAAGCCCCAAACACTGCAGGCACTTTTCCTATCAGTCAGCAAATCAACCCAGGGTCAGAATTAGGACCCTCCTCTTTGCACTGCCCGCTTAGGAGCCCCTTGCAGACATTGCCCTCCCGGGAGCCCATCTGGGCCCCCTTCTCCTCTCCCCTGAAGCTGGTGGGAGTTGGGGTAGGGGCTGCCCCCCATCTCTGTTCACAGCTGTATCCCCTACAGAAATGTACCAGTTCAGCATTCAGGAGTCGGCCCCCATCGGCACGGCTGTGGGACGGGTGAAGGCTGAGGACTCAGACGTGGGCGAGAACACAGATATGACTTACCACCTCAAGGAGGAGAGCGGCAGCGGCGGCCATGTGTTCAAGGTCACCACGGACAGCGACACTCAGGAGGCCATCATTGTAGTGCAGAAGGTGCTGCTTGGGGTGGGGGGTGGGGGGGGTGGCAGACCCAGGGTGGTGGGATGGGGGGGAGGCCTCAGAGCAGCCATGTGGCCCCACCCCACTCCACTCCAGGGATTGGGTCTCTCTGGGGACCCAGGACCCACCTGGAGGAAACAGCGATGGTATCAGTCCCATTTTACAAATGAGAAAATGAGGCACAAAGAAGATAAGCTGCACAGCTAGTTGTGAGAGCCCGGATTCAAACCAGATTGGATCCACGCTCAGAATCACTGTGCTGTGCTCCTTCGAGTGCATGCCCTTCACGCTCATCATTTCTTTTAGTCCTCATGCTTCCCTCTGAAGAGACATCCATTGTTAAGCCCATTTTTACAAGTGAGAAAACAGAGGCATAGAAAAAGAAAAGGGCTCGCCCAAGATCACACCTGTAAGGGGCAGAGTCAGGATTTGAACCCAGGTCTGGTGACTCCAAGCTCTTTCCTTCTTGAGTCTAACAGCCCTCCTCCCCTACTGACTAGCCCAGGAACTAGAAGCTAAAAGAACAAATTCAGGGGTCCCTAGGGGAAGGGGATGGAGGTCAAATGAAAAGCACAAATCCATCTTCTAGAACTTGGTCGTGGGCGTGGCAACTCAGGGCTACTCAGGCCTTTGAGACCATCGCCCCAGCCCTGCTCTCCCACAAGAGGTCAATCCCCTTTACTGGCCTGCGAATGATGGTAGGCCTTTGTACGCCTCCAGGTTGGGAAGCTCACTTCCTGCCATTGTCCAGCTATTTCTCCTTCCATTCGGCCAGAATCTGTCTCCTAAATCTGCTCCCATCAGCCTGGGCCTTGCCTTCTGGGACACGCAGAAACATTTGCACCCTACAGCCCTTCATTCACTCAATAAGCACATATGACCAGCTCTCTATGTGGCCTGGAGGGTTTGAAAAGAGAGAAGACTCCCAGTTTTTTCAGCTCTGCCCAGAAGATTAAAATAGAGTAGCTATTACTTATAATAAATGTATACTATGTGCCAGGCACCCTTCAACAGTTTTTCATGTATTAATCAATCCCTACGACAACCCTCTGAGGTACTATTATTGCCCATTTTATAGAAGAGAAACTGAGGCCGTGGCAATTCAACAATTCGCATCCAAGGTCATGCATCTTATAGAGCAGACTAGGGCTATGAGCCCAGGCAGTCTGGCTCCAGAATCCACCCTTTTAAGCATTATATGGCTTTCAGTCTTCAGAGTTCCATTTGTCCTCTGGAAGATGAGCCCATTTCACAGATGGGGTCCAGCATCACAGAGCAGCAGTCAGGCCCTAAGTCCAGCCTCTGCATTTGCTCTTACCCCCAGGATGCCCCTAACCCCCTCCCCCATCTCAGGCTCCTCCCACCTGCCCCAGCAGTGGCGCCTGAGGCGTCTCGGGGCGCAGAGCCCACGCCTGATTGATGACCTGGCTCCAGAGCCCATCGCTCACTCACAGGCCCGGCTCCGGCCTGCCTCCCTGCATCCTGATTTCCCAGGCAACAGGACAGAGGAAGGAGGTGGCCGTGTTTACTGCTGGAGAAGGTGGGGGCGGGAGATTCTGAGAGAAAAGTGGGTCTCTACGCACAGGGCAGGTCTTTAGGAAGGTCCCTTGCCACCCAGATAGCTCCCCCCACATGTTGGAGGCGCCCAAACCCCACCACTGCTATTTCCCTTTGCTATAAGGCGTTGTCTTTAGAAGGCCGGAGCCAACACATGGCCATAGAGCTCATTCATCGGAAGGTCACCCATCAGCACTCCCTGATGAGAAGCAAGTCTCAGCATGGGTTTAGCCAGATTTCCGAGGAAAGCTTTAAGGCAGCCTGGCTTATCAGGCTCAACTCATATTAGTTGCTGCCGGCTAGGGACCTGGGAAATGTCTTAAGGAGACCCTCACAACTGAGGCTCAGAGAGGCTCAGAGAGGCTAAATAGATTGCCCACAGACACACAGCGAGTCAGCAGCAGATCCAGTGCGCTTTCCTGGCGTGGGGTTAAGGGCCAGGACTCGGGAGCAGCACTGCCTGGGTCTGAATCCTGCCTCTGCCAGTGCCTAACTGCTAAGTGACCTTGGGCCTCGATTTCCTCTCGTGTAAAAGGAGATAATCACAATACAGCCCTCTTACGGATGTCGTAAAATTAGATGGGTAATGCGCTGGTACACAGTAAGCGCTCCGTGAATTAATAAATGCATGAAATGGTCGGACATACTGTGCCTGGGGTGGGGGGGGGGGGTTGGGAAGTCAGATGTCAGCGTCCTTTAGCCCTGATGGGCTGTGTCCCTTGGCAAGACTGTCCCCCGCAGTCTCGATTCGTCCACCTGCAACCAGGGAGGGTTGGTCGGTGGTCTCCCAACAGCCAGTTCCCTGTTGCAGCCCACTACTCCCCGCGCCCCTGCAGAGTCATCGTGACCCTGGGCTGGCTAGGCCCTCTCTGGGCCCACCTCCCCGATGGCTTCTTTCGGGGCGGAGCCCACCCGGCCCACTCACCCGCCCTCTGCTCCCTCCCCGCAGCGCCTGGACTTCGAGTCCCAGCCCGTGCACACCGTGGTCCTGGAGGCCCTCAACAAGTTCGTGGACCCCCGCTTCGCTGACCTGGGCACGTTCCGCGACCAGGCGATCGTGCGCGTGGCCGTGACCGACGTGGACGAGCCCCCCGAGTTCCGGCCGCCCTCCGGCCTCCTGGAGGTGCAGGAGGACGCGCAGGTGGGCTCCCTGGTCGGCGTGGTGACGGCGCGGGACCCCGACGCCGCCAACCGGCCCGTCCGGTGAGACCCCCGCCCGGCGCCACGCCTGCTGCCTGCTCTCCCGCCACCGCCCCGCGGACAGACCGTGGGCAGAGGGGGAGGGGCGGGGGGCGAGGAAGGTGGGGATGGACACAGAGATGCCGCTCAGAGACAAAGGAAACAGATGTGAGAGTGGTCACAGAGAGTCAGGGGACTCAGGACAAGGAGGGAGACCCAGGTTTGACAGACACCGCAGAGTGAACAGGGCTCGGCCCCGGTCCTCTCTGTCCGCGGTGGCTCCCTCGGTGCCCTCGGCCTGTCCATCCACATGCCTATGACCCCCGAGTCCACTCTCTTGCCCACCCTGCCGTCTCAGCAGCTCCCCTTGGCTCCCCTAGGCACCCAGAACTCACCACGTTTGGAACTGAGCTCCAGGTCCCTCCACCAAAAACGATCCCAACCTTCCAGTTGTTGAGATCAAAAATGTTGGAGACACCCTGCCTCCTGTCTCTGTCTCCCACCTCCCTCCAGTCCATCAACAAATCCGGAATCCCACAACCTTCTCCACCTGCGCTGCTACCCACCTGCTACCCCCTGGTCCAGGCCACCATTTTCTCTTACCCCGACCCGCATCCGGATTCCGGCACTCCTCCCCTCCCCCCCACTGGTCTCCCTGCTTCTGCCCCCCCCCCCTTTAATCTAGAACTGGCCTGGGGCCAGACTGATCCTGTCCAAACAGAAATCAGAGCTTGGCCCTCCTCTGCTCAGAGCCCCCCAAAGGCACCCATCTGGCTCAGAACAAAAGACCAAGCTCTCACAGTGCCCCCCAGACCCATGAGATCTGGCCTCACTGTAGCCTCTCAGACCATTCCTCCCGAGGTCCTCCTTCCTAGTTCAGGGGGCTCAGCCACACTCGCCTCCTCACTGCTCCACAGATACACCAAGCTCACTCCACCTCAGGGCCTTTGCAACTGCTAATTCCTCTGCCTAGAATGTTACCCCCTTAATATCCCCACGATTGGTCCGCTGGCTTCCTCCAGGCCTTTGCTCAAAGGTCACCCTCTCAGTGATGCCTTCCCTGACCACTTTTTCTAAAATTTCATCCCCACCCCAACCCCCAGCCCCAACACTTCACATCCCCTTTCCTCATGTCACCCTGTCCTCAGTAGCCTTCCCCACTGAACACGCTACCTAGTTTTCTAACTCCGTTGTGTGTCTCTGCCACTACCAGATAAGCCCCATGAGAGCAGGGAGTTCTGTGTGCTCACCACTTTACCTGATGCCCTGCACTCGGTGGACACTCGCTGACTGCCCTGATGAGTGAATGAAACATAAAAGCAGAGAAAAACTGAGAAAAGAGAGAGAGGCTCAGGGGCCTGGGGAGAGCCCCCACAGTGAGAGGAGGAGGTCGGAGAGAGGGGGGAGCCAGTGGAAAGACCATGAGAGGAACTAAAAGAGGCAGGGGACCTACCTGACCATGTAGAAACAGAGATCATCTGCGGAGAAAGCCAGAAAGGGAAAGAAAGAGAAACAGACACAGGGAGAGAGAGGGGTTAATGGGGGGGGGGGGAGACAGGTGGGTGGAGGGGCAGGGATGCTGCAGCTCTGTTGATGTTTCTGGAAGGGTTTGAGAAGTCCCTGACTGTGGCCCAAATTGGAAGAAAGTCAGGTGGAAGAGACGGGAAGAAAGGTTGTAGCAGAAATGATCCAGAGGAGGTCAGGGATGGGGGGAAGGGCCACTGTTGGACAGACGGGAAGGAGATTCCTGAGCTCCCTCTTCCTCCCTGAAACCGCTGGACATAATCAGTAAGTAATCCCAGAACCAACTATGTGCCAGGCTCTGTGCTGAGCACTGAAGAGAGGGAAAAGGGAAGTTAATTTGAGGATCTATGCATTACATGGTTCCAGATGGGTAACGTTCCCCTCATCATCTATGTGAATGGTTCTCTGAGTTGTACAGTGCACAGCATGTGCAATCTTACATGGCAGCCCTGGGTGACGACAGAGAGATAGATGCCTCCCTGCCTAACTGCCTACAGGCTCTCAGACTGGGAAATACCCTCAGGGGTCTTAAAAGACTTCCTGGAGGAGGCAGGGAATGAACTGAGCTGGTACCTGGCTATGGTCAGGTGTACATACGACGTGAAGGGCAGGCATATGGAGGCCGAGGTAGCTGTGCCTGGAGAAGAGCAGACCGTGATGGCTACAGTGGACTGAGGGAGATGAGGCAGCAAAAGTGAAGTCTGGCAGGCCTCAGGGCAAGCTGAGGAGCTCAGACTCAGGCCAGAGAGCCAGAGGGCCCGGGGTTGCCTCTGCCCTCCTCACTGTCCAAACCGTCCCACTGCCTCTGAGCTCCTCTGCCGCCCTTCCACTCAGGCTGTCGGGACAGTCTGTCAGCAGCCCCCTAGCCTCTGGCTGGGCCACAGACCTCTCTCTCTCCAGGAAGGGATTATCACCCATGTGTGTGAGGAAACCGAGGCCCAGGGAGGGGAGGAGGTGTCCCTGGGCTCTCCTGGGGAGTTGAGAGCCAAGAGTAGGAGCTGAGTCCTCGCCTCCCAGGTTAGTGCTCCTGCCTGCCTGCTCCCCTCCCCTGCACTGTCGCACTCACACCCCCTCTCAGTCTTCTCTCTGCTCCCTCTGTTGGCTTCCCTTCCCTCCGGCTTTTATCTACACTGAAAGGGCCAACTTTGAAACCAGCTTCTCACCTTCTTTCATCTCTCTTTGCTGGCCCCTTCCCTGGGGCTCCTCTGTTGTGGAGGCCATGAGGAGCTTGTGACAGGTCCAATTTAATACCACAAACATTTACCCAACTCCTCCTCATCCTCCGGGAGCCAGGCCTGGGGACAGGAAGATGACTCAGCCAAGGGCAGAGCTGGGGATGAGCGCCCTCTCTGCAGGGGACAGACGCGGAAATGGGAGGCCAGTGAGGGGCCACTGAGAGACAGAAGGGCTCCTCATGGGGCACATGTGCTGCCCAGAGCCCAGCTTGCATCCTCAGCTCCTGGGCTTGCAGGGTTGTGGACTCAGTCAGCACCTACACATTGAGTCAAGGGGGAAACAGTGGTAATAAGACCTCATCCCTGCCCACAGAGAGTTTGCCTTCTCCTGGGGAGAGACAGTCATTGTGCTGATAAGAGCTATGAAGGAGTTAAACAGGGTAATAGGATAAGGATTGGGGCAACAGGGGCTACTATGGATCCAGTAGTCCAGGAGTTGACAGATGAGCTGAGATCAGAATGATAAAGTGAGAGCCAACCTGCAAAGATGTGAGGAAGAGCATTCCGGGTAGCGGGAACAGCAAGTGCAAAGGTCCTGGGGCAGGGGCAGCTTGGTGTGTTCCTGGAGATGAAGACATTAAGTGGTATCCTCAGAGATTTTATAGGTAAAATCTAGGCACACTAGGCACCTGGGAAATACAGAGATGCAGATATGCAGAGCGGTTTTCTGAGTTCCTGCACTGGGGAGAGTGGAAAGTGCCTCATCTTGTTGCATTTCCCCCTCAGGAGTTATCATACGTAGTTTACAGATGAAGAAACTGAAGGTCAGAGAGGAGAAGTGACTCTGCCAGTGTCATTCAGCTTGAAGGGGGGAGGAATGATTTAACCCATGATTGTCTGCTTCCTGAGTTCAGCCTCCTGTTATTTTACCCCAGCTTCTTACTCTCTCTGTGGTTAGGTGTCCTCCCCTGTGCATAAGGCACAGAGATGAATCAGACATAGGCTGACAGGAAGGCTAGGCCCCCATGTGAAGGCATCTAGTGACAGATCTAAGTCGAGTGGTCTTGGGCTGAGGCCGGGGCTTGAGGACTACAGAACTCCAAGGAGGGGCGAGGACTCAATGCACCACCGAGGGGAATGAGCACAGGCTTCTGCATATGGCCCCCAAGCAAGGCTGAGGAGGTGAGGTTGGAACAGGGAGAGGATGCTCCAGGTTGAAGTGATGGTAAGGGCCGGGAAGCAGGAATAGAGTCATGGATTCAGGAGGTTAAGTTCAGCAGCAGGATGATCAGCTGGATGAGCTCATGTCAAGGTGGGCAGAGATGAGGACAGAGGGGCACCTGGGCCAGGCTGGGAAGGACTTGAATATCAGGTGGAGAAGCGGGACTCCATGCTTAGGCAATGGGAAGCCTTGGAAGCTTTGGAGGGAAGGAAGAGAGTGCTCAGATGGGCCCATCTCTGGGTTAGGCAGCCTTGCAGATAGTCAGGCCCTTGATCAGCCCAGCATAGCCCTACACCATGGTGAGTCTTCTTCAAACATCAAAACCAGCAAAGCCTACACTGGACCAGTGGGAGCAAACACCTCATTTCCTCCCAGCACTCCACAGTGGGGTGCAGCAGAAAGTACATGGGCTCTGGAATCAAAGAAGACTTGGGTTGGAATCTCAGCTCAGTTGTAGAACCATGGGAAGATCACTGGACCTACTGCAAGCCTCAGTTTTCCCATCTCTAGAATGGGCATCATGATAGTACCTGCCTCATTCATTTATTCAAAAATTAGGTATTAAATGCCTACTGTATTCTACTAGGTTCTGTGCTCGGTGCTCCCAGGGTTGGAGGGAGGCTTGTTTGGCACATAGTAGGCCCTCAGGAAATGAACATTAAACATTTTCCTTGTGGCCTGTACACCCATTTCTACCCTTCAATCTGCAACTTGTACTAATCACGTACAAATTCCCAGGCATCATGTCTTAAGCTTGTGTGGGGGAGGGCAGGTATGTAGAAAGAATCGCAGATGGGGTGGAGTGAGCAGAGAGGAATCCCTGGTGGGGGGGAGGGGAGCCCCTTCTGCATCTGAAGAGACTCTTCGTCTAGTAGCTCAGGTGGGGGCTGCATCATTCAGCCTGCTGTGCGCATGTGTACATGAGCCTCCACAAGGGAGCCCTGGGAAGGCTGCACACGCAGGAGCCTGTTGCCTTCCGTATCTCTCATGCCTGTGCGTGCGCTGTGTGCACATATTGATGCGGACAAAACCCACATAGTGCCCGGCCAGGCCAGGAAGCAGGACCCTCCCCACATCCCCCACCCTAACCTTGACAACGGCAGCACTTTGTGCAGTTGGAGTGTGTCCGAGTGCAGGTGTGCCAGGCTGGCCCTCAGGAGGGTGCCCTTAGACGAGGCCCTGAACAGACCTGGGTGTCCACTCACCAGCCCTTTGACCCAGGGCAAGGCACCTGGCTTCTCTTAGCCCAGTCTCCTCACCTGTGAAATGGGGGTGATAACAGTGCCTGGGAAGATGGGAGGAGCTCATGCACGTAAAGGCCTTCTGCAGGCCTGGCACGAAGTCTTGCTGGCAAAAAAAAGTCAGAGCAAATCCACAGGTCATGCGGCAGGCGCCCAGCACTGCTTGAAGTGTTCCACGGGTAGCTACTTGTCCAACCCTCGGAGCTGCTCAGTAAGGTAAGCATTATTATTATCTCCATTTTTAAGAGGAGGAAACCCAAGAACAGAGAGATCAAGTGATTTACCCAAGGCCACACAGCTAGGTTTCAAACAGGCAGATGGGCACCAGATCCGCGCTCCTGACCATCATTCTGGGTCCTCCCTTGCACGCATGCACAGACATGCACACACACGCACCACACACTAGCTGACAGCTACCCACACTCTGTCTGCACTCCACCCGCACAGGCTCCGGGTCCCCTCCCTGCCGTCCAGGTCCTGGCCGACTGAATGAGGAGCCGGACCTTCTAGATCCACAGCTGCCTCCCGCCCTTCTCAGCCTGCTGGAGATACTGCAACGTCCGCTGTCAGCACATGGGGCCTCCCACCCCCGGGGGCACACAGACCACACACCCGGTTGGAGGGCCTCCCCTGTCCCCCTTACCAGACGATTCTGAATAATAATTAGAATAACAATCATTCTCTCTCACGGAGTAATTTTCCTGGAGCTCAGCTAGGCACCTTATCCCCCAGCTAGGCATTTAATCCTCCCAGCAACTTGCAAGGTAGGATTATCATCTCCATTTTGCTCAAAATTAAAGTTCAAAGATTGAAGTGACTTATCAGGGGCATTGTGGACTTGGATCCATACCTAGGCCTAAGCAGCTGCCTCTTGAGCCTTAGCTTTTCCAACAGCAAAGCAGGACCACACACAGACACACATGCACACCACTCACATATTCAGGTCACACACACACACACACACACACACACTTTCCGCCCACAACACCGACCAGACGCACAACTCATGCACCTACACGTGAGGTCCATAAGCCTCCCCTCTCCCGCCCCCCATGTTTGCCAGGCCACGCTCCTTGCTTCATGCCGCGCCCCTCCACCCCTCCCTCCCACTCACTGGCTGGCTTCCTGAGCTGCAACAAAACCACCGGGGCTCAGCCAGCCACACTGACCTGCAGCCCCAAGTCTTTTGCTGGTTAATGGCAGGTCCCTGCGGCCCGCCCCATGGCCTTGGGAACAGCTGCCTCCACTTAGATTCAGCTCCCCGCCTTCCCCTCCAGGAGGGAACAGAAGAGAAAAACTGGGAGGAGAGAAAAGACAAGGGAGTTCTAAGCAGGAATGGGAGAAGCAAGAAGATGGCAGGCATCCTCCCACAAGCTCTGCCTCATGCCCAGGCCTGACCCAGTGTTCAGGAGCCCCAGGCTGTGTCAGGCCCTGGCCCTCTCCTGGTCTCCATTCTCCCAGGAGAATCGGGGAGGATCCTTCCAGCCGAGCTGACACTCGGAGCCTGGTTCTACCTCCTTTGGACCCAAACATCTGATAGGCCCAGGCTGGGGACAAAGAGGATCTGAGGCTCCATGCTTTGCAGCTTTGGGTGGTTCAATGAGCTAAAAAAGAACTCTGGGTAGAGAGTCCCAAATTTGGGTACAAATACCAATTCTGTGACAGTTCCTGTGCAGTTTTGAGCAGGGTCATCACTAGCCCACAGGGCATCTTTGCATAAATAAGAAAAAGATCCCTTTTGAGGAGATCCTCCCTCAGCTAGGACACATGGCAAGCTGAACACTGGTTAGACTTTAACCCCATTTCACCCCTTCAGCCTGGTTGGTACCTTTGTGCAGGATACAACCTGCTCAACCACACTTGGCAGTCCTACACTTGGCAAGTTTCCTTTCTGAGCCTCAGTGTCTTCATCTGCAAAACAGGGAAGATCCCATCAGCTTCACAGGATGCCAGGCAGGGACCTCATCTGTCTCATTTGCCCTTTTATCCCTGGGACCTAGCACAGAGCAGAACAGAGAAGGCACTCAGTTAATGTCTAAGCATAAAGAAACGCAGGGAGGAATGGCTAAAGGAAAAGCAGGCTACAAATTACTAAGTGCTGTGCCAGTGGAAGGAAGTATCTTGGGTCTGAAGCCCCCCATACACTTTTGCCTAGGTCAGGAGGCCCCAGGTTGGTCAGGGGCAAGGGGGATGTGGGCTTAGCAGCTTAGGGACAGGGAGGAGAGTTGATGGGAGCTCAGGAAACTGGCGGTAATGCCCACCATACCCATACACACAGCCTTTTACAGTTGGCCTTAGCTTTCACCATCTTTGCCTCCACCCCAGTAACTATGAAAAGAATAAGGGATGTCACGTATGCCTATGCCCAGACTCATGAATTAGCTCCTCTAACCCACACCAGTGTGAGGGAGTACAGATCACCCCCTTTTCCAGATAAGCAAATGGAGGCCAGGGAGGTCCAGTGACTTGTCCAAGGTCACACAGGTGGAGTAAGTAGCCTAGGATTCAAACGCAGCTCTGATTACTCTCAGATGCGGGCAGTGCCACTGGGTGTCATTATTCCCATTCAACAGATGAGGAATGAGGCCCGCGGAAGTTGTAATGCAGCTAAGCCCCACTATAGGGTCGCTTCAGGGCTTTGCGCCTTCAGCAGGGGGCGTTTCTGGCGCCCTCGCCTCCCTGGGCCTCAGTTTCCCCCTCTAGGAGATGGGGAAAGGATCCCTTTCCTCCCTGTGGGAGGGCCCGGGTGGTTCAGGCTGAGCTCCGCCCCGCCAAGCTTCTTTGTCCTCGCCGCACAATGCGTGCGCTCTTGCTTGGCATTCGAGGCCTTTGTGGGCCGCGCAGCCTGGCGGCGCCCCCGCCCGCGTTATCAGCGCGGGGAAGCGGCGGCCGGAGCTGGCGGGGCCTCTCTGGGCCGCCGCCCGAGACATGTGTTGGACACGGGCCTTTCAGGCCTGGAGCCGCCGCACAAAGGCCCGGGAAGAAGGCGAACAAAGGGCTTTTTCACGCGGCAACTGAAAAGCCGCAGATTAGCTCGCGCGTGCTGCGCCGGCGGGGAGGGGCCGCCGGCCGTCCCCCCGGACCCCTCGCCACCGCTCTCGCTCAGCCGTGTGGCCGGGCTGGGGCCTCCACGCCGACCCCCTCTCTCCTGCTCAGAATTCCCCTCGCGCCCCCCGCGCCCCAGGACACGTCCAAGCCCTGGATCCCGCGCCCCGCGGGTGCCAGTGCCACCCTCTGCCTGCTCCTCCGTTGGACGCGCTGGGCGCCGTTAGCCGTTCTCTGAGTAATTCCTGCCCGCCATTCTCTGAATGATTCATCGCCCCTCTGTTCCCCCCACCCGCCCCCCCACCAGCCCCGCCCCCTTCCCAAGCCCAATTTGAGGGTCAGCTCTTAGGGAAAGATAAGAATCGAATATGCAGTGAGTGCCAGGGACTTTGCCCACTTCCAGCCTCACAACTGTGGGGTGCAAATTATTAGCCCCATTACCCAGCAGAGGAAACCGAGGCTCAGAAAGGTTGAGGGTGGCCCGTGGTCACACGGCGGGTACCGGTGCAGCAGAGATGCAAACCCACATCCCTTCCCACCCCTCCTCTCTTGGAAAGGGTGTCTCTGCTCCTGGTGTCTCCCAGGCAGATGATGCCTCTTTTGGGGGGTGGGGGAAGGCTGGTGGACTTGGGCACGGGCTCCACCTGGCGCCAGGGCACCTTCAATCAGCCCCACCCTGCCTCCCTCAGGTATGCCATTGACCGCGACTCGGATTTAGACCAGATCTTTGATATCGATGCGGACACGGGCGTCATCGTGACGGGCAAGGGGCTGGACCGCGAGACGGCGGGCTGGCACAATATCACCGTGCTGGCCATGGAGGCGGGTGAGCCGGGGGGCGGGGCGAATACTGGGGCGGGGCGAAGGCCGTGTGATGGGCGGGGCTGAGGCGGGGCAAAGAGAAAGAAACCGGGCACAGATGGCCGGGTTGCGGGAGGCGAAAGCTGATGCGGAGGAACAAAGACCTGGGAAGGATCCCAAGCCAAAAGGCGAGAGCTGGTCTGGAAGCTGACTTTCTTCCGTCAGCATTTATTGAGCACCCACTACATACGAAGCCCTGTTTTAGACACTGAGGATACAGCCTTGAACAAGACAGAAAAGCTCTTGTCTTTGTGGGGGAGCGCTAGATTGTCAGCAAACAGGTGTACATATGTCAGATGATGTGAAGTGCTAGTGAGAAACCGGGAAGGAAGAGAGCCGGGGAAGGGGATTGGGAAGAAGAGGGTGTTGTTCCTCTTAGAAGAAGGCCTCTCTGAGAAGGAGCCATTTCAACAGAGACCTTAGGAAAGTGAGGAAGTCGTGCCCATGTCCGAGGGAAGAGTGTTCTAAGCAGAGGGAACAGCCAATGCAAAGGCCCTGAGGTGGTAGTTTGCCCAGCATATTGGAGGAATGGCAAGGAAACCAGTGTGGTTGGCGAGGGGCAGAGTGATCAGCCGTTGTAAGTGCTTTGGACTTTACTCTGAATAAGGTGGGAATCACAGGACAGGGCCACCATTTGAGCTGAGGAGGGACATTACCTGACAGGATACCTCTGGCCGCTGCATGAGAATAGATCCTTTGGGGGGTGAAGGAGGAAGTTAAATGTGATAGTGGCAAGAAGACAAGACCGTGTCCTGGCCCAGGGCTACAGCCATGGAGGAAGTGAGATGTGGTCAGCTTTGGGGGACAGGCTGAAAATGGCACCCCGGGATTTTCTGATGGAATGACTGATGTGGAGATAAGAGATAGAGAGGGGGTCCGGGACTACTTCAAGGTGCTTGGCCTGGCTTTCTGGAAGAGTGCGCGCCTGTGCACGCGTGTGCGCGTGCGTGTGTGTGTGCGCGCGTGCACCACGGGCAGTTTGGTGCAGCACGGGTAAGCTGCAAGAGAAAGAGGGGAGGCTCTATGCATGGGGTCCAGATAAGTAAGGCCATGGAGGTGTGGGGCTGAGACCACGGGGTTCGCAGAGGCCCAGGAGAGGGGAGGTGGCAGCTGCAGGCCTCCTCCAAAACCAGAGCAATGCTGCCTGGACCTGGTCTCCAAGCCCCCCCCCCCCCCCCCCCCCCCCGCCATCAGCTCTCAACGTCCAGGAGCCTGCAGAGCTGCCAGTAAGCAGTCATGACAGCAGAGAGACTCAGAGCCTCTGAGCCTCGGGTGCGTGGGTGGGCGACATTCAAACTTGCCCCTGCGTGCACTTGAGGGGGTGGCCCAAGCCCCTCCTGGCCCTGCGAGCCCCCCACCAGCCTTCCTCCTCCTCCCCTTGCCGGCGCCCTCCCACTTTGCAGGCCCCACCGGCCGTGGGCCAAGGAAGTCCCTATGCTGAAGTTCCCTCCGTCTCTTTCAACTTCAGTTTAAAAGAAAATACAAAGCTGGCTCAAACCTCAGTGCCTGCTACTCGGGAGCCTTTGAATCCACTCCTCCACCGCATGAAAGGAAAGTAACAAAGGTGGCTGGAGAGGAAGTGGCGGCTGGACTGGGGGGGAGGAGAGCTCCCACTCCTTCCCTCCCTGCTCCCTGGGCGGCCAGGGGAGACTGGCCTGGCTGCTGGGCAGAGAGCCCCCTCTCCCTGCCCACAGATACATCTCCCCCCACATGTCCGGCTCGGCACCCTGCCTGACGTCCCACTCGGGTTAAGCATTGTGCTTCTGGCCCAGTGGGTCTCTTTGCAGGGAGCAGCTAGACTGGTATACAAAGTCTATAATGCTGCCATTTCACAGAAGAAAGGATGTGGAGGGGACTCTCCCACAAACATTTTACAGTGTTGACCTCATCCATATTCTGGGCTGGAGGCTTTCTAGTGTGGACTTCTACTGAATCATGATCAGTAACCCATCAGCACCCACTTTACTGATGGGAAGATCGAGACTCAGAGAGGAAACTTGCCCAAGGATGTGCGGTGGCAGAGCTGGGATTTGGAGCAAGTCTGCCTAGTTCCCTCCGCAGCAAGGCCACGTGAGCTCCCTTTCCCGGGTACTCTCTGCAATCTGAGCCCCCCCACCCACCCACCCACCAGTGCCTAGCAACCCACCATGGGGAAGATGAGGCTCTGGAAGGAGACTGATCACTGGGCTAGAGACCCTCCCGCCTGAGCTGCAATCAACAACCCCTGCCCAACCCTCACCAGGTATTAATCAATGAGAAAACGAATGGCTCCCGCTTCACAGAGCTAATGGGGGGATTCAATAGGATCATGCATGGAAAGAACTTGCCTAGTACTTAATAAGTGCTCAATTAGTGGTATCTATCGATCCTGACTCTGTGCACTTGACTACAAGCACCAACTCTGTGCAAGGCATTTTACAGTAGTGCGCTCACTCGTTGAATCTTCCCACCTAAGAGGTGTCGGTTCTGCCCTTATCCCCAACGTATGGATGAGAGGTGAAGTCATTTGTCCAAATTCCCAGCCCCAGCCTGTCTGACTCCAAAGCCCGGCTCTTACCCAGATGCCCCTCAAGTCATGTTTTTTTGGTGCCAGGCACGAATCCAGGAGTGTCACAAATAATCCACCGACTCCAGCTTCTTGCCATCTCTGCAAGACAAGGGCAAAATTATTATCCCCACTTTACAGAAGAGGAAATAAAAGCTCAGGGCGGAACAGCGATGGTTCCAAGGTCATGGAGCAAATCCACACAGGGTCAGGGCTCCACCCCCAGACCTCCTGCTTCCTAGCAGCCAGCCCTAGCCCCAAGGGCAATGCCAGGGGGTCTGCCTGCCCGTGGCCTCCTGCTGAAGCATCCATTTGGCTTCCTCAGAAACAGAGGATGCTGGTGGGGTCATGGTGGCCCCGCCTGCTCTGGGCGTAACAAACCTGAGGTGACAAGAATCAGAGGGGAAATATTTATACACAGTGGCGGAGCTTGGCGAGCACCTTGGAGAAGGCTGCACTGGGTCGGGAGCCACCGCCGCTGTCATACTGGATTACCTCAAAGACTCCCCAGCCACTTAGTATGCCGGCTCCCCTCTCCCCGAACTTCTGAGTCATCCATTCTGCCCATGCAAACGCTCCTTCCACTGACATTATCTTTAACGTTTTGTAATCATGAAATATTAATGACCGATACTGAATTTAAAGTACAATTTGTGTCTGAATCCTTCGGTGGAAAGGGCAGTTGTAAAGGGACAGTCTTCAAAGAGTTGGGGGTGCGGACTTGGAAGGCCAGTGCTGGGGGGGTTCCAGGGGCCGCATCCGGCCCCCCTCCTCCAGGGTCGTCTGGCCCTAAGCTGGTCTGGAGTGGGGGAGGGGGCAGGTCTCTAGCCACCAGGAATAGCAAAGTGTTAACTAGATTAGCGAGAAGCTTCCCCATCTGGGTCACCCCAGGCCAAGTACGTCTTACAGCACCCTGGTTTTTCCTGCAAACCACGGAGCACTCGTCATGATTTATATATGTATTTGTGTGAGTATTTAGTTAATCTCTTCTCCCCAGGACGCTGTACCTTCCACGAGGGCAGGGTCTTGTCTGCATCTGCGCTATTTATACCAGGCCTGGCACTTAGTAGGCGTGTGTAAATACTTACTGAACGAATGGATAAAGGGGCTGGCCCACCGAGTGAGGAAAGCAGGGTGGCGTGACACGTGAAAACTGGGGTCAGTTGCACCGTTCCCAGCTGTCTGCGCTTGGACGGGTCACTCCCCCTTTCATTGCCTTACTTTTCTCATCTGTAAAATGGCACTGTGTTAGATGGCTGTAAAGATAATAATTTTTTTTAAGATTTTTATTTATTTATTTGAGAAAGAGAGAGTGAGCGAGAGAGAGCAAGCACGAGCAGAGGGAGAGGGAGAAGCAGACTCTCCGCTGAGTAGGGAGCCCAACATGGGGCCTGATCCCCATGGGATCATGACCTGAGCTGAAAGCAGACGCTTAACCGACTGAGCCACCCAGACGCCCCAAAGATTATAATTTACGATATCTTTACAATAATAGCAGCTTCTGCTTGTTTGAAGCTTACGATGTGCCAGACATCATCCTGAATGTTGTATATAAAGCATCTCATGTCATGAACGTTAGAATCTGTGTATGTAAAATGACTAGCATGGTTCCTGACACACGGTACTTGTGATTCATAGCCAGAGAAAAGAATCTGAGGGAAGAAGGAATGTCAGAGATGATGGACTCCAGCCCCCACCCCCACCCTCACTTCACTGCTGGGGAGACTAAGCCCAAGGAAGGGAAGCAACTGGCCCAAGTCCAGCAGTGAGGCCCTATGACTCCCAGTCCAATGCTCCTTAGGAGGACAAGAGGGATGGGGGTGAGAGCTTGCAGTGGGATGAGACTCAGAGTGCTCAGTTGCCACGAGGACACCCCCCGCTCCCCACATGTCTACCCCCAGCTAGTGTTTCCAGAGGGCCTCTCCTCACCGCCCATCCCGGTCTGGGTGCTGGGATCTGGTGGTAAACAAGGCTTGGCCACTGACCTCGGAGCTCACAGGTAGGCGGGGGAGAGACACATCGACAGCCAGTGACAACACAGAGCGGAAGGGGGCAGTGGGCACTCAGGAGGAGCAGGGAAGGACTTGCCCACCCAGAGGGGAAGGAGGCCAAAAATCTTTCCCAAAGGAGGGGACATCTGAATTGGGTCTCAAAGGCTGAGGAAAGGGAGTTTGGGTGCTCGAGGCAGAAAGACTCAGAAGCTCAGCCGTCCACTGGCCATTCTGAGAATGGGGAGACTGGGGCGGGGGCAGAGGCTGGGGTGGGGGACGGCTGGAGCAGGCGAGGTGAGGTGAGCATGCAGACGTTCACTGGCTCTCTACAGGAAGGGCTCTCAATGTCCTCTGAGGAGCCATTCATCTGCTGGAGACAGCAGGGAACCAAGGCAGGTCTTAGAGCAGCGGAGTGACATGGTCAGATGT